AGGGTAGGAGGTAAATGAAAGAAATGTGTGTTGATGTGGAATTTGCAGAGCCAGAAGGTTAAAAAAGCAAAGCAAAACAAAAAAAGACGTTTTAAAGACAGTACTTATAAAGTATTACCCTTGTCTAGAATAAGTTTCATAGGATTCTTCCCCCTCCCCCCCACTTGGGTATTAGTTTAGAATCTATTGACTAAGAGTTTTGATAAAATGTACACGTAATTATGTCTTGAGTGTTACATACACTAGGATCCTACACAGTACTAAGGGAAATATAATATCCCCCAGCCCCTTGTGTTAAATAATACCCTGATTTTGCCAGCTATACTCCTATCACAAATGCTGGGAGAAGCCACGGTACGCGTTGCAGAGCTCGGCTTGGAGCGCTCTGCGGTGGAGTACTTGAAAAGCAAGTGCCTGGCTGGCTGTCAGGGGATGGGTGGCCTGGGCAGCTGGGCACTTTCAGGGGCGTCAAGCTGCAGGTAGCTCAGAAAATCAGGTATGTGAAGGTGGTGGCTGCTTTTTTGCCCCAAAGGAGTCCTATGAGAATGCTTCCTTTAAAAAAACTTCTTTTTTCCCCTTTTAATTCTACTGTTTCGAATGTTTTGAATTAATCCCATGTAGGTCTGTCATGACGACAAATTTTGCTGAGAGAACGGTTGGATGCGTTTCTCAAAGGTTCTTTGCTGTCGTCGTGCTATGTGTTTGATAGGCTGGGTTTTACTTTGCTTTGTGTTTGGAGCTGAGAAAAATGCTTTTAAAGGTATAGGTGGGAGTATGGTGTGGAAGGGAGGGAGGACTTCATCCCAACTGATAACGAAAAGAAACCTTTAAAGCAAAGAGAGCCTCTAACATATGTGTTTGGGATTTAAGGGCAAAAGTAGGTGGATAAAATGAAGCGGAATTATATGCAGGTTACAGGGGGGGTTGAGTATGTATTTCTGAGTAGGTGATGTAAAACAATTGTAGTCTGACCTCTCCGTTCTCAGCACTAATACAGCTTGCATTACTGCGGTGTGTTGAGTGCCGGTTGGGTCCTCAAAACAGCGTAGTACTGAAGATTTTTGATGCTTCACAGATGGTAATATAAATCATTTGCTTAGTTTATGGGGCTTTGTGGGAGGCATGTGCCGTGTGTACGTGTCTTAAACTTACTGCAGAAATTAAGGCTGCCGACTAGAAAAGAAATTCAGCAATAGGCATGCTGTAAAATACATCAAACCGCCTTGCTGCAACTCCTGTTTGGAAGGATTGGTCAACAGCGGTCTGTTGGCTGATTATACTGGTGATACTCCAAATCCAGCTATGGGGAGCACGGGGAAAATTCAATGCCACAGTGGACTGATGGAAGAGAAACAAAGATCAGGAAGGTAATTTAGAAAGGGGGAATAAGAACTTCCTAGTTAAGTGTTCTTTCTTTAATGTGACTTTTAATTTTCTCTCCAAAGAATGATGTTCTATTGAAAAACAAGTTGTCATCTGCAATGACAACTGTGCTGTTAATGTTCTTATAGGACTCCTATATAGCCTACTCATATTCCACTGCATGAAAACTGTCACGTATTAAATATTTCAACAATTAACAACTTTGACCTGTGCATAAATCCTATCAGTGCATTCTTTGGGTTTGTTAATTTTGAGTGGTTGAAGATGATCAGTAGCCAACTATGTTCACTAGCATTAGGGCTTGATTTTTTTTTTTTTTTCCATGTAGCAACTGGCTGTAATTATCAGGTTAGGCACTGGATCTTTAGTATACTTTTGGACACAGTTATATTAACTAAAATACTTTGACATGCTAAGTCAATTAGTCCCTTAGCTTCTGATAAAGATACAGATTATAAATGCGACCACTTTAGAGAGAAGGAGGTTTTAATGTGGGGAAAATCCCTGTTAAATAAGGTCTTCTGGCAATTCTGAGTTTTGATTACAACAGAATAAAAGATAAATAAAGAATAAGGTATACATAGAGGTGTTTAAGTGCAGTACATGAAGCTTCAGCTATGGTTTTGTTGCTTGTTAAGGAGCTTGCTCATTGATGTAGAGATGCTTGTAGATTGAGTCTGTGAATTTTTGGTGGTAATTCAGGAGTCAGTACAATTTCGATCTCTATAGATAGACATTAGGATATTGACGACAAGTTGTCATTTTGACTACAGCTGCAGCATTTGATCTTTAAAAGGCTTTGATTTGCCACCTGGAAAATTTAAAAGAAACAAAAATGCAAGATTTTGTTGCATGGTGACCCAAAATGACAATAAATGGAAGAATATGATTCAGCTAACAACTGTAAATCTTAAGGGAGTGGAAATGCTTATGATGGTCAAGTGGTGTGTCACAAACAGTAGCGGGTTTAAACTGGTAAATATGGTAAACTAAAAACCAGGTGGAAAAAATTCCTTGTATTGAGATGTGTGAGCTCTGGAATAACCTACCTAGTGGAAGATTGAGTCATGTAAAACAGGACTAAAGAAAAATATTTACTTTTTTTAATTTTTTTGGTTTTTTCAGTGTAGGCTCTAAAGACCAATGCTGTTTTGGCAATAGCATGGGATAACTCATTTCCTCTCAATTCCAATACAATTCTATGATTCATAATTTCCATAACAGTTATAAAACAAAGCAAATTTATATTTAAATTTGTTCAGTGTATGTAATGCTGTGGGGAAACAAAAAACAACTTTAATGACAGACAATATGGGTTTCAAAGTTAATAGGATATTTTCTGCTTGTAGACTCAAGTACATCCTTTCTTCACCTCAGCTGTAAAACACCTTTGCCTTTGCTTCAGTTCCTTCTCAAAATACAGTAACCTGCCAATATGCAAATTGAATATATAAGTAATTCAGAAAGTTTTTCATAGATTCAGGCTGTGGGCTGAATGGAAGAAGCTGTGTTAGAAAAATAGCTCTTGGTCTCCTGTTTCCTTCTCAAATCAGGGTGAAGAGAAGGAGGTTGCTTAACGTACTGCCTTTGAGCTGAACAGCGTGCATGACCGTAACTACTAATCCCCTTAAATATATAACGTACACAATTTTAAATGACAAATTTACAACTAAAAATTTGGGATGACCATTCTGGGTTCCAGTTCTTTGGAATTCTACTGATTCCGATTCTACTAATCGCTCTTTTAGCGATTAGTAACCAAGTGACTTCATCATTTAAAACGGTGACTTATAGTTGTTTGTAAACACCTGATTATCAGAGAAACGCAGTGACCCTTTGCCATTACCATTAATGAGACGAGGTGTTGTTTTGCACCTTTAAGAAACAAATATCGCAATCTAAATACCTCTGTGTCCGTTTCTCCAGGTTACCTCGATGCATGAGTACAGCCAATATTCTTACTTTCAGGTACGGAATCATTTCTCTGTGGCAGTGTTGAGTTGTAGAGGACAAGTCCTGCGCTGCCAAACCAGGGGATGATGCTTCAGAATGAGATGCCTAAACTTTGGGCCCAGATTTTGCCACAGGCGTTGCAGAATTTACTATTATATTCCTTCAGAAGCCTGTGTAGATATCATTGCATAGATTATCCTTTTTTTCCAGGTAGCTGTATATAATATAATATATATATATATAATTTTAATTTTGCTTTCTAGATACCCCTTCTTTTTCACAAATAAAAATATGTTTCTTTCCATCACAGTTTATATCAATAGATACATCTTAGAAGGAGTAGTTATTATAAAATCAGCAGCAGCTTGAAGTAGTTGCCAGCATTGCCTTTCCCTTCTTCTTCTGCAAGGCATTCAGTGGCCAGCTCTCCATATCTCCTTATAGGAAATTGGTTGCTACTTCTCCATCCTCTCTTTTAAAGAAAGAAGAGCTTTTGCTGAGTGAGCTTGTTAGTGAAATGAAGAGGAAATTCTAAAGGCTGAAATTATGTAAAATGAAGGGTGACAATTGTTTTTGCTCATCCAAAGGAGATGTGGGAAGAAGTGACAGACAGGACTGTTTTCATATAACTTTTTAAGGGAAGAGGTTAATTAATAAAGTGGATTGTTGATGTTGATGGGGTTTGGATTTTTTTAAGACATCTGTATTATTTTCCTTGAACATGAAGTTTCATTGAAATGCACTTAATATATCGAAGATGAAGTTATATAAAAGCTTTGGGTACAGTAGTCCTTGTTAAGCAAATTTTTATTTTCACCCAGAATGACCCTGAACTTACAGAGGATCTTCTCCATGTTTTTAGGGCAGTTCCTGTTGACTCATTTTTATCAGCCCTTTAAAGCTAGGCGGTTTGGTGCTTACGTTTGTGGTATTGCTCCAGGCTGGTCAGCTGAATATTCAAAGAGGGAAGAAAGTGTGGATTGATTCTCCTTCTACAATAAACTCAGAAATGGTAGTAAACCTCATTGAACCTGATAGTGGAGAGCACTGAAAGATATGAAGCTCTTAACCTAGCTGATGACCTTCTCTAACTTATTAAGGGAAGAGACCTCACCTCTGGCAAGAGACAGTCTTCAGTGTGAAGTCAACAGTTAACCTGTTGATCTGCCCTGTATCCTTCAGCATGTGCGCTCTTGCCGATCAGTCAGAGCTCGTACGTGCTGCCTCTTGCCCAGCTTGTAATGAGGGAAAATGGGAAGGAATTGGCAACATTATTCAGGTGGCTAGGGTGGAACTGGAGACTTTATAAAATATAAAGGGTAAGATCAAAAAGAATCCAGGAGTGTGGTGGCACAGGGCATAGAAATTTGGGAATTGTCAAATTTAGTAATCTTTTTACACTTAGTGTCTTTCCATGTGACTTACAATAAAGTTGATGAGATACAATAAAGTTGATGAGATCTACTAGGTGATAATACTGCAGACATCTGTCGTGGTTTTTTTGGGGGGTTTTTTTGGTTTTTTTCTCTTTAGAATACAAATAGGTTTTGTCACATTTGAGGCTGGAAGCTAATATACTTATCTTAATGAATGCAAGAGTCCAGACAACTTCCTGTGTTCTTATTCAGACCTAGGTGCTGAAAAACTTTGTTCTTTTTTTTCAGATACTGAAAAATATCACTTGGTATGCTGAGCGTGTCTTAACAGAGATCTCACTTGGGAGCCTCCTGATACTAGTTGTGATAAGAACCATTCAGTACAACATGACACGGACAAGGGTAAGAGTTTACACGTAGCATTTACGCACATCATGTGGACTTCTGCTTTCAACAGCATGAATTAAATTTCAAACAGGGTGTGGGATTTTTCTTCATTCTGTTGCAACCAGTTGGCATCTGAATTTACAAGAGGGAAGGAAATGGGAAGGTCAGCCATATTAACGAAGCACAATGTTAAGTGGTTTTGAACTTGTAACACAATTTCTGTGTTATTGTTCAATTAATTGAGTGGGTTTCTCCAAAGTCCATAATTCAGGCACTGAACTGCTCATCTTCGGATGAGAAGGAAAAAAAACATCCTTAGGTTGGTGAGAAGAAATGATTCCTTTTTGGTTGTTTGTCTCTATTCAATTACTCAGAAGTGGGAATTTCAGCTCTATTTGTTGTTAGTGTTTTTATGAAGTAGGATAGTGACTGGGCCATAAAACCTTTCTGAGCTCTAGCAAAGCAAAACTGCTTCAACTTCATAGCCTAAAATCAGATTGTTTTTGTGCATTTTTCATGCATATGATTCTATAACTTATCTCAAACATGTAAGCATGTATCATACACCTTTGAATATTTTCAACAATTAAAGGCACAGATGTTTTTACATTAAAAGGAGCAAAAAAATTACTTAAATATATTTTAAATTGGGAAACTTAAGGATTTCACTTTTAGGGTCAAAAGTATTGGAAGAAATGAGGCCATTCTTGGCGTATATTTGTAGGATTTATAATCTGTTCTATTATGTTAATGCACATTGTAGATTTGACTATTGGATTGCATAAGTAGACAAGTTTGGTTCTGTGGAAACCCTTGACTTTGATACGAGATCATTTAAATGCTTATCTGGTCAAACACTTTCAGGGATGCTAACAAGGGGACCAGAACTGTGAAGTATCACATGGTTATGGTTGTGGGATATATAGAATGCTTTGAAAGAGTTAATAGGGACATGACTTATGAAGCAGAAAATTTTAGGATAAGGCTACAAAAAGGAGAGAGGGTAAGGGAAAGGAGAAGAATTGTCTTTCAGCATTTGTTACATCTATGATGTCATTGTAAGTCAACATTGCTAAAGATATGAAGACATACACTCTGAGATCTGTATCAAGCAATCACTCTTTTATAAGAGTTATATTTTAAGAACATCACCAAGTATATATGCTTTGCATTTCTGCTATATGCTTTGGACCATGTCCTTTAAAGCAACATATATTACTCAGTATTTGAATGATTTCTGCAGTAGGTGTCAGTGTATATTAAAAGGACAGTTTGATGTTGCTTGGTTTTTTCTTTCTTTCTTTCTGACAGGACAAATACCTTCATACAAATTGTCTGGCAGCCTTAGCAAATATGTCAGCACAGTTCCGCTCACTTCATCAGTATGCTGCTCAGAGGATCATCAGGTAAATATAAAACTTCAGAAATAGCCTTCTCTTGAAACTCATCTTTGCTGGAACTCAGGAGTAGAGGAACTTGAATTTTATATGACTTAATAGATACTGATGAACTAAGTAGCTGAAATGATAACTGCATAACTAAATAATCCCAGAGTAAATCTTACTTGCTTTGTAATTGAATCTGTTCTGAATGCACAAAAAACATTAGTTTCTCTGTCTGAGAAACTTCTGACTTTTGGTTTGCTTAACAATAGCTCAGTAGCTTCTTGCAAGCCAGGATGTTTTCAGGGATTTGTGTGACTTAATGCGTTTTTTTAGTCATGTATCAAGTTGTTATAAAAATGCACTGAGTGGTGGTTCTCAAGTATTCTGCAAAATGGATTTTCAACTTGCTTTACTTCTTCCTGCGTATTTGGCAAAAGATGTATTTATTGTATCAGACAAAACGTAATGATCGTTTTGTGATGAAGCCCTGCAAATATGGACAATAAAACCTACACCCGTGCTTTTCAACTGATAAAGCTTGTTATCCTCCAGAGTAATAAATATCTGCTTTGGTTCTAAAACAGGACTACAACTTTAGAAAAGTAGATACTGAAGTTGGTCCTTCCTAGTTTGTATCTGTGCTGCAGATCACTTTGTAAAGGCAGGTAGTCATGCGTCAGGCATCCTTCTCATCTTGGCAGCCAGCCCTGCTCCATGCTCCAAGGGAAATGGGGAAAGTCTTGTTAATGCGATCTGGAATAAACTGTTACAGAGCTTGTCAAGTACAGACGGTGTGCCAAAAATAAGTAAATGATAATTGCCTGCCTCTACACTTTGTAAAGGACTGGGTTAACAAGAGATACATCTTGTTCTTAAACCACCGCTCTGTAGGATTTAATTCTCTCCAAGTCCCTTCTCTTTTGGAAATGGTTGGTTGTAAAAGTATGGACAGGTAACCAGGATGAATGCGTTGTGCCGTTACATTTTCGTGGCTTGATACTTGCCCTCTTTTCATACCCTTGGCGGTGATAATGAGTGTTCACAATTTGAATTGAAGCTATTTTCCCATTACATATCATAGACATTGTATTAAATACCTGCTTTCTTCATTTCTCAAATCATAGACATGGAGTCTGAGTTTTCCAAGCATTTGCAAATGTTGGCCTCTGAAATCATAGATCCTAGCGTGGTGTAAGATACGCTACCTTGATGCTTAAGAACTTGGCCTGGTTTTTAGTGGGATACTTCGTTTTCCACTTCTGAGCTTTTTTCCTATGTTCCCGGTTTCCAATTTTGTTCCATTTTATTGTACTGCTGTTTCTGCAGACCAAAATGAGATGTGCTCCTCTGGTTATATTTGGGCCAGGAAGAGGTTATCTTGCTAGTCCCATTGCAGCTGGCTGTTATCACCACTCAGTAATCTCATAGTCATCTAGCATAACTGCATTTGTATTTCTATGTGGCTTGGCTTTTGTCAAAATGCTCTGAGCTTATGGCCATCTACTGTTCAAAATTTAAACTCATGGTTTGAAGTAAGCTCAGCTGGATTATTTTGATTTAATTGGGTTAGGAAATGGCTAAGCATGCAGTCTGCTGGCTTATCAGAAGAGGTGGCAGCCATCAGTAGAGAAGCAGCAACCTCTGTACCTTTACACACATGTCTCGCCTCAACCTTACAACTCAGAAACGTAAAAGGAGCCTTTATGTGGTGTGAGGCTCTTCCCTCCACCAGCTTTTTCCAGCCGTCTCACCTGCAGTTTTTACCATCTGTAGCGGCATCTCTGAGGCAGGTTGACTCCCTGATGTTTAAGACCCATCTGAAGACTCAAGAAAGCACGTGTTAACACCCAGAAATTCTCTTGCAGTCCATGTATGCAACGTTTCAATAATCTATTGTGACATTTGGGTGCTTTATTCATCATTCCTCTGAACATGCATAGTTACAATGTGACTTTAACATTGCTGCTTGATTTTAGTTGTGAAATAGTTGTGCTGGTATCCTTATTGAAGGCAGACAGACTTCTGTTGCTGCTTGACACTGATGCCTGCGGAAAGGAGACAATAGGGGTGAATGGCAGAAAACAGGGTGAAAAAATTCTGTCATATTGAAATTGTCTGTCAAATTCTCTCTTTTTCATTGTGTGAAGGACTAACAAAGCCACACTTGAAACGTGCCAAATAGAAAGAGAGACCTTTAGAGCAAACACATAATACTGGCATGTTCAAAACTCTTCCAAAGATGTAAGCTCTTAATGGCTACTGCTGGTTGGTTTCTGTATGGCTTTTAGCAGAGAGACTTTGTGTGGGATCTGAGCTGGGCAGTATTACAAATAACAACCAAATAATATCCAGCCAACTGTAGTGCGGTTGGATGGCAGTCTGAGAAGGATATTGGTTATCCCAACCATTGGGTGCTGGCAGGGCTGGAGCTGTACTTTTATAGAATCACAGAATAGTTAAGCTTGGAAAAGACCTCTAAGATCATCAAGTCCAACCGCCAACCCAACACCCCCATGCCCACTAAACCATGTCCTGAAGTGCCACATCTACATGTTTTTTGAACATTTCTAGTGATGGTGACTCCACCACCTCCCTTATGGTTGGAAATAATGTAAGGATAGGTACAGAAAATGGACGTACTCATCAACTGAGGAAGCAAAACAAAAAGGCAATATATTTATCATATATAATATGATATTCTTACATAGTTCAAAGATATTCCACACTATTATTTTTAAGCTTCTGATTTGTTGTAGCCAGACACTCCATATTACTGTAACATAGAAATTGTAATGAAGGAGGTGAAACAGAAACAGAAAAACGAGGCGTGCGTTAAGGAATATGTTTTATATCCCACTCCTCACTATTTTTATGTGTAATATTGACCAAAGGTCTTATTCTGCGGATAGAAAACTGTACATCTGGACAACAGGCAAAAATGCCCACCAAGATTGGGATTTAATTTGTCACTGTGCTCGTGATTGCTTATAAATCAAAAGACCCTACTATAAAAATGTATTAGAATCTGTTGTAAAATATCCCATGGGGCTAGAACATGGGCAGGCTGAGAGAAGGAGTCAGTTCCAGGGGCAGCCTGTCTCCCTTAGGACTTTACTGCTAGTACGGTAGCATTTGCTGCTCAGGAGCTTTACAGCCTTGGGTTCCCTGGCAGGCTTAAGCACCATAAAGGAAGTATTTTAACCTGATTTCCTCTCAAGATACGTAGGATTGTTATAAAGTTTCAGTTGTCAAGAAAAGCAATAGGAATACACATATTTTGTAAGAGATTGATGTTTTGAGGCATACATTGTCATTTCTTTTCCTACCTTCTGAAGTCTGTTGGCCGCTATTATTAAATTTAGCCAGCACTGATGGACGCAGCTTGCTCCATGATGCAGAAGCAGAGTTTTTGTATTAAATTCCTATTCTGGTTCTACCATCAGAGTGAAAGCATGTCTGAGAGAACAAACCGCAGTAACCATAATGAAAAAGTGTTTTCTGTGAAGAAAAAGCCTAAAAAGAAGACAGTACCTTATATTGCATAAAGTATTTTAGGGTGTAGGTTTTTAAATTAAGTAGCTGTGAAACACTTAACTTAAAATCTGCTTAGCAATACGACTGAATAGTCATAATTTAAACCTCACCAGATGCTGTAATGATTTCTTCCTTAATGTGAGAAGTAATTCCATTTCCATGCAGGCTTTTTCCTAATCCTATTCTGAGCAGAGACTACCAGTTGTTTTAAATGCTGAAGACTATTTTCTATGAAAGAATTATATTCTGGGTATATTCAATATGGTGTGCTTAAAAGCTCAGTAAAATACAACTTCATAATGTTGAGTAATTTGTATCACATTCCAGTAAGCATGAAAATTGACAAATTTGTCTAAATCTATCACAAGCAGCTGCTGGAAGTAAAAATAGATGTAATAGATGTTCTACAATAAGGTCCAGGGCAGTATTCATTTAATGTTGGATGTCCTCTATTGTAGGCTGCCCCGAGTTTGAGATCCTTCCCTGCTCTATCGTCTGTTACCACTGCTTTGTTTTTAATTACACAGAGCAGTTTTATCAGCGTAGTGCCAGGGGTGATGCTGTGCTGCACTGTGTCTCTCTCTTACTTGTGGAGTGCTGACATTTGTAGTATCTTTACATCATATGGGCAGAGTATTATTAAAAAATAAAATAAAATGTGTGTTGATGTCATTGGTGTCACAAATGACTACCAGAGGTGGCTGTGTAATCTCTAAGCAACAAAGCACAACCAGGTGGAGTGTTACATACCGGCAGTGAGAGTAGGTTTTTCCTTTGCTTGGTTTCTATTCTACAAGGACAACTACCACCTGACGTACTCGTGGAGGCGTTTGATTTGTCACTTAAAACTGCAAGTCAGTTGGCAATTAATTCCTTTAACCTATTTGGAAACAGCTTGCATGATGTTCAGCTTTTCTACAGCTAGCCTGCCTGCTCTAGTGTGTGTGACGCTTGGCAATGGAGAGGCTTTCCCTGAATATCTGTATTCTGACATCTCATCACCACGTCATTCTAATAAAATTAGTGACAAGAAGACGACTGATCACTTAAGGCAAATGCTTTTCCTATATATTCATATATTGGAGTGTTTGCTGTTTTCTAAGCAGGCATATACCACTAGAGGTTGCCATACACCTCACTAATTAGCCATGCACATTTAGCATTAAATGACTTTACGGGGCTAGAAACACTATCCAGTTTTCCTTTTTTCCCTACACTGTCACCCCAGCTGTTCACGTTTAGGGCTGTGTGAGCCACTAAGAACTTTATCCACGGTACTTCTCCCTGTTAAATGACTTGAAGAACTTCAAGATGGCACGTTATTATATTAATGTCATAATTTGCTTTGTTTTGCTGTCGCAGAGAGTTCAGTGGGATTCAGGGAACGATATGAAGAAATAGGTTTCTGTCATCCTCCTGATGCTCACAGGAGTCAGGTGGAATTGGGAGAAAAGGTACGCTTAAACGGGATACAGACCAGGGACTTG